CGGAGATTGCCACCCTCCGGATCTGCTGCCTCCTAGCAAGCAGGCTCGCTCCACTAACTGGAGGGCACCGCAACGAGGCAAGACCACCAAGAAGCGCCCTTCAAAAGCCCTCCCTGATCTCGTGAGCAGAGCGAGCCCCACCGTCCCCTCCCGCCAGCAGGGAGGGGCGGCGGCAGCTGGCGCAGAGACAGATGCAGCTCCTGAGCGATACAAGGCCGATTTATTGGCTTTGTTGCACAACACATCGCAGCAGGATGCTGGAAAGACCTGCAGGCACTGGCCGCAGATCAAGTAATTTTGTCACATGTTATTATACCGTCATCTCCCACGCCGCACCACCCATGGCTGGCTCCCAGCCACATCTCCTGCTAGCCAGGTCAGCGGCTGGTTACCCATTCCAGCGCGATCTGGAGTTCCCAATCCGGTTCCTCAGCTGCCCCGTGCAAGAGGCGATGCTTGCTCGGCAGATAAAGGACCCAAACTGCCCCTTCCATGCCGAGCCCCGAGGGAGTGACAGGCTGAGGGGAGTAAAAGGGGAAGCTGGGACACCAGTGGAGCGATGAACAGGCCCCCTGCACATCTGCTGCCCTGCTGCTCCCGAGGACCCGCACACGGAGCGGCCAGCTCGGCTCCCACTCGGCGCTACAGCTTCACCTCGACGTAGGGCCCGATCCAGCTGTCAGCCAGCTCCCGGAGGGTCCTGTACCTGCACTCAAACTCCTCCCCGCTGCAGTGGGTGAGAAGCCGGCTGATCTCCGCCGTGAGGAAGGACACCACCAGGGATTTATCCAAGGACTTGTTCCAGGAGCTCTTCAGGACCTCCAAGAGGCCAATAGCACTGTCTCGCCCGGCCTGATGGGCATCATGTTCCTTCCACCACTGTCTGCTGAGCGTCTCTGGCTGCAAGGTCTTCCTGTCCGAATTCAGCACGGCCAAGATGTGCCGGCAGGGCAGCTGGAAGACCTGGTTGAAGTGGCAAGTGCAGCTGCTCAGGCCTTTCAGGTCCACCCTGTGGGCATCCTCCAGGACCTGTATGCTGAGAGCATCCTCCCCGGCGCCTATCAGCTGCACGGACTTCTGAACCACCGCAAACTCGCTCAGGCACAGCCTGGCAGCAGGCTCCGTGCAAATATCCCTCAAAGACTGCTTGATGAGTTCTTCAGTCCTTCGGTTAATTTCCTCCTCGCTGTCACCCTCCGGGTTTTCCGTGGCCTCCAGTTTGGCCACAGGAGATGAAGGATCTAATGAGGACTGAGGGCTCGCGGGCTCGTTCCGGAGGAGGAGGAGAGCCTGGGGGATTTCAGGCTGACGCTGAAGAGCCGTGGGGAGCCGAGGGCCTGCCGGTGGACTCTGGAGAACAATCACGGGGCTCTTAGCAGCTGTGAGAGAGGCCGCCACCGGCTGCTGCTGCTGAGCTGCTGCCGTGGTGGGGCAGGCCTGGACAGAGCTCTGAGGTGGCTTCCCCCGGCATGCCAGAGGGGCGAGAGGCAGACCCAAGGCAGGCAGGCTTTGGGGAGCTGCCTGAGCAGCACGGTGATCAGGATGGGTAGTGGGAGAACAATCACGGGGCTCTTAGCAGCTGTGAGAGAGGCCGCCACCGGCTGCTGCTGCTGAGCTGCTGCCGTGGTGGGGCAGGCCTGGACAGAGCTCTGAGGTGGCTTCCCCCGGCATGCCAGAGGGGCGAGAGGCAGACCCAAGGCAGGCAGGCTTTGGGGAGCTGCCTGAGCAGCACGGTGATCAGGATGGGTAGTGGAGCACGTCGCGGTATCAGGAGGGCTCTTAGAAACACACTTTTGGTAGTGCTGGGCTAAGGAGGTGATGCAGCTCTCCAGAGAGAGCCCAGTGCTGAAAACCTGGCTTAGCCCCTGGGTGACCACCTCCAGGTCCCTAAAGTAGTTACTGCTGTCCCCCCACGTCCTCTCCCTGTGCACGGCCCAGATCTCATCATCAAGCAGCCAGCGAATATGGAGCTGAGGCAGCAAGTCTGGTGTCACGAGGTCCCCCAGGAGGGCGTGCATCTTCCTGCGGCTGCTCTCGGTGGCTGCGCACATGGTGTCGCTCAGGGCGGCCAGGACCAGGCGCTCGGCGCGGCCCTCCAAGGCCAGCCGC